GCATTTTCTAGACTTTTATATAAATGACATCATATATGTACTCTTTTTTTTTCTGGCTTCTTTCATGCATTATACATATTTGAGATTCATCTACAATTCTGCATGTATCAGAGGTTTTATTTTTCTTTCTGAGTAGTGTTCCACTGTATCAATATACCACAATTTATTTATTCATTTACCTGTTGAAGGATATTTGGATTTTTTCCAGTTTCTGACTGTTGCAAATAAAGCTGTTATGAACATTCATGTGCTAAGTCTTTGTGTGGATATATGTTTTCATTTTTCTTGAGTAAATACCTAGTTGTGGAATGGCTGGGTTGTAGGGTAGGTATCTTTTAAAAACATTTTTTTAATGAGAAGAAAACTTTAATATTTTTCCACATATTTGCCATTTCCAGGGCTTTTCATTCCTTTGTGTGAACCAGACTTCCTTTTGGTAACATTTTCTTTCTGCCTGAAGAAATTCTTTTAACATTTCCTATAATGCAGGTTGGTTTGTGATGCATTTTTTTCCTCCTTTTGTCTGTCTGAGAAGGTCTTTATTTTGCCATTTTTAAAGGCATTTTTACTGGGTATAGAATTCTAGGTTCACAGGTTTTTTTTTTTTTTCTTTTAGTACTTTAAAAATGACTTCTGATGTGGAAGTCTGCTTTCATTCCTATGTTCATTTTCATGTGATTTTTCCTTTTTTTTCTCCTAGCTGCTTTAAAAATGGCCCCTGTGTCATCTAAGGTATTATTCACAGGTTCCAGGGATCAGGTCATGGACCTCTTGAGGGACCATTATTCAATCTACGCTGCTTAACAGGGGTATAGGGCAGCCTATAGTCTGGGTGTGAGTTGGCCTCACCGTGAGGCAGTACCCTTTTGAGGACTCTACTTGATGTTCTGTATAGTAAGAATCTTTTCATTCTGGATGGTGAGAATACAGACTGTTCTAAGGATTTCCCCTCCTACTCATTTCTGGTGTTTTTACCCCCAGCCTTGTTTAGTTTCCTCACACACCATTACACAATGATATTTACTCAAAGATCTGAGAGGACCCCTCTGAAAATCTCAGAATGCTCTCTCTGTGTATCTCCCTCCCCATAATTTTGCCCCACAAATTCTTGCCCTGTTGACTTTCCCAGACTCTGTCCCCTCAGCCCAGTGAGACTATAAGGCCGTTTGGGTCCTCCTTCCCTGTGCTGCAGCCTGGACACTGTCTCTCTCCAAGCAGTAAGCTGGGGCTACCTTATTCCTTTCCCTCCTGTCTCGTGCTGACTGTTGTCCAGTATCTGAAACCGTATTTCATATATTTTGTCCATTTTTTCTAGTTGTGTAAGGCAGGAGAATATATCTGATTTTTGATACCTCATCATGATTGGAAGGAGAAATTCATACTTACTAATTTTAATAGTTTCTTTGAGGCTTTAAATTTCTTTCCTACACAATCTTGTCATCCTCCAAATCATGAGAGTTTGATTTCTTCCTTTACCATTTTTACACTTTTTTGCTTTATTCCATTGGCAAAGACCTCTATTACATTGTTGAATGTTGGCTATAATAGACATCCTTGACTTGTTCTCAATCATAGATGGCTTTTATATTTTATCACTAAGTAACATTTCTGTTACTTTTTGTTATGGTAAAATACATGTAACATAAAATATAACATTTTAACCATTTTAAAGTGTACAATTCAGTGGCATTAATACATTCACATGTTGGGCAACCATCACCATGATCCATTTCCAGAACTTTTTCATCCCCAAATAAAACTCTACCCATTAAAAAATGCCTCTCTATTACCCTTCCCCCCTCAGCCCCACTGATTTCCTTTCTGTCTCTGAATTTGACTATTCCAGGTACTGCATATAAATGGAATTACATAATATTTGTCCTTTGAGGGTCTGGCCTAATCTACTTAGCATGTTTTCTAGGGTCATCCATGTTATAGCCGGTATCAGTACTTTATTCCTTTTCATAGTTGAATAATATTCCATTGTATGAATATACCAAATTTTGTTTAGCCATTCACCTGTTGATGGACATTTGGATTGCTTCACCTTTTGCTATTATGATACAATTCCTATGAATGTTCATGTACAAGTTTTTGAACAACTGTTTTCAGTTCTTTTACGTATATACCTAGAAGCATGTTTGTTTTAAAACTTGTTTTTAAGTACTTTATCAGATTAAGTGAGTTCTTCTTTTATTCCTGATTTGCCAGAAGCTCTTATCATGAATGATAACTGAATTTCATCAAATACTTTTTTGTGTCTATTGAGGTCAGCATATAATTTCCTCCTCTATTCTGTTAATGTGGTAAATTACACTAGTGGTTTTTTAATTTGTTCTGGTTTACCAGTAATATTTGAGTTTTTCATCTAAATGTTCTTAATGTTCTTTTTTTTTTCACTTTTTTACCTTTACAGTTATATTTCTAGCAAGTGATACTGCTTCTTTTAAAAACTGTGGTAAAAGCGCATAAGGGTAAAATGTATCATCTGAACCATTTTTAAGGGTACAGTTAACACTGTATTCACACTGTGTGCAACAGACCTCTAGAAATTTTTCATCTTGTAAAACTGAAACTGTATGCCCACTGAAGTTATAACAACTCCCCATTTCCCCTTTCCTTCAGCCCTCGGCAACCACAATTCTACTTTCTGTTTCTGTGAGTTTGAACTACTTGAGATACCATTAAGTTTTGATGGCTTTACGGTGGTTAGGTTGGGGGAATATTCTTGTAGGAAGTACACAGTAAAGTGTTTGAGGGTGATGGGACATCATGTTGGCAATTTATTATCAAACCATTCCAGAAAAAAACACAGTTCTTTGTGCTATTCTTGCAAATTTTCTATGAGTTTGAGATAGTTTGAAAATAAAGTTTTTCCCCCCCCTAAAAAAGATTGATATTGTTTCTTGCTTGAATATTCAGTACATGCACCAGTGAAACCACCAGGATCTGGAATTTACTTTGCAAGAAAGATTTTAGTTGTGACGCAATTTCCTTAATAAATATCAGAATGTTCAGAGTTTTCTCTTTCATCTTCTTTCAGTTTGGCACGTTTGTACTTTTCTAGGAATTTGCCCATTTCCTCTAAGTTTTCAAATTTATTGGCTTAAGATTATTTATGATACCCTCTTATTATCTTTTAAAATGTCTAAGATTTATATTGATGTTCTTTTCCATCCATAAAATTGGTTATTTTTGCCTTCTCGTTTGGTCATTCTCACCAGGGATTCATCAATTTTATTAGTTTTTTCATGGAAACAACTTTTGGCTTTGTTCATTCTCCCCACAGTATATTTGTTTTATTTCATTAATTTCTGTTCTTTATTTTTTTCTTCTACTTTCTTTGGCTTTAGTATCCTATTTGTCTTAAAACTTCTTGAGGTAGATATTTGTGTCATTGATTTTAGTCTTTTTTCTTTTATTATGGATACTCTCCTATGAATATCTGTGTACAAGTTTTTACATGAACATACATACTCATTTCTCTTGAGTATCTATTTCTTTGGTCATTTGGTAACTTTATGTTTAATTTTTTTTTTTTGAGGAATTGCCTGTTTTTCTTTTCTTTTCTCTCTCTCTCTTTTTTTTTTTTTCAGAGGGGAGGTAATTAGGTCTATTTATTTATTTGGTTTTTCAGTGGAGGTACTGGGGATTGAACCCAGGACCTCATGCATGCTAAGCATGCACTCTACCACTTGAGCTATACCCTCCCTGGAGTTGCCTGTTTTTCAAAGTGACTGCTCCATTTCACATTCCTGCCAGCAATGTAGGAGGTCTTCTGTTCCTCCACATCCTTACCAACACTTGACTGACAAATAAAAATTGTACATATTTAAGGTGTACAACATGATGTGTTTTTTTTAAGGTTTTGTTTGTTTATTTTTAATTTAAAAAAATGAACCTTAAATTCTTTTTTTAAGCTTTTTTTGGGGGGTATTAAGTTTATTTATTTGTTCGGGGTT